GGGGGGGGGGGGGCGAGGCTTGTATTTGGGATGGCTTATATTCCGAGGTTCATGGTATCTTGATTACATAGCTCAGATCTTGAGTTTACAAGATGTTACAGAGTGTCCGAGCGTGTTTCATCTTATATTTTACAAGATGATATTATTAAAATTAAACAATACTTTACCCAGTCTTCACCTATGTCTCCCTGTTCTTCTTTCCTCAAATTCTCATTCTGTTCTTGATAGAATTCATTTAAAATGGCCAGGATCAGCAGGCAAAGCGTAGGCTAATTATCACAGCTAATTGTAACATTATAAATGCCACTCTACCGACAAAAAAAATTACACAAAAAAACGGCTGAACAAAGTCACCTAATTGCAGAATCGTTGTAAACTCAATACGACGAGTAATATCTCCAAAATAAGGACAAATTTCCAGTCGTTTTACGAAAATAAGGACAAATTTCCAATGCAAAAACTAATTCTCAGAAATATTATATTAAAGCGCTACAGAACGCTAGAGTGTAATAGCGCAACGTACGTGAAAAACCGCTGAGCCCCAGATTTTTTAAGGAAATTTCCTTTCTGAAGGAAAATTCGCCAAATTACAGTAAAACGAAGGAAATGTAAAGAACATACAATTTTGAAGAAAATTTAAAGTAAATTACAGAAAATTGTTGGAAATTTGAAGGAAAAATTGCCAAAAAATTAGTGCCAAACACGGCCGAAAATTGCGGGCTCAAGACAAGAATTTTCCCGCGCTTTTTGTTTTGCTTTAATTAAAGGGTATGGGCAACACAAAATTTTTATTGATTTTATTGCTTCATCTGAAAGAGCATGAAAAAATAAGCTGATTGGCCAGTTACTGCTCTATTCTATCTTATCTGGTTCCGAAGTTATACGCAAAAATGTGCAAAATATAAATTGCTGATTCAGCACAATGTGTGACGTCATAAGCTGGCTAAGTATGTTTATTGAATAGTAAACTAAAGCATAGCTGAGTTATTATTGGCTCAAATCAAATGAAATTTTGCATACAGATAGTACATGATGAGACGCATGGGAAAATACTTCTAATTTCGTTGTCAAGGCAACACAGTCGTTCCCAGGCCCCTTACACTGATTTTGAATAACTAGTCGCATTTCTCTATGTGTATGTCATTTTCGAATTATTATCATGCAAGTAAACTTTCGGCATGCATAGGTATCGTACACATACTTCTGATATTATTTTATTTTTATCAGTACCTTGAATAAAGCTGTTTTATAAAATTGGCGCATGGGGCCTGGGAACGACATTGTTACCTTGGCAACAAAATTAGAAGTGTTTTTCCATGCGTCTCATCATGTGCAATCAGTATCCAAAATTTCATTTGATTTGGGCCCATAATAACTGAGCTATGCTTCAGTGTAGTATTCAATAAACATACTTACCCAGCTAATGACGTCACACTTTGTGCTGAATCAGCAATTTATATTTTGCACATTTTTGCGTATAACTTCGGAACCAGATGAGATAGAATAGAGCATTAAACGGCCAATCGGCTTATTTTTTCATGCTCTTTCAGACGAAGCAATAAGATAGATGAAGCAATTTTTAAGACCAAAACTAGCGAAGTGCTCGTTAAACGCCTCTGATAACTCCTGGAGTTCACTAACCAAAGAGCTGTTTATTTTGATTTCCTTTACGTGTGAACTAAATTGTGTCCTTGAGGTAAGTTCGCTGACAATACCCGAAGTCTTTTTTACAATATGCTTGTTTTCATACAAAGCATTCTTATAAATACTTTCCTTAGCAAGTTTAATTTCATTGCTCACAAAATTCCGAAACTTTTTAAAACGCAGGCCAATCAAGAGGGTCTTTAGATGGAACAGCCTAGAGTTTGTCGAAAACAGGCGAACCAAACCAGGTCACAATTTAGATCACCTAATTAATAGTATTCGACATTTTCAGCATCACGTCTGCCGATAAAGGACTCAAAATAGGAAAATCTATCGACAGTCGAATCTGGCGGCATGAAGTCGAAACAATAAGTGGATTACAACTTGGTTTTCGAATTTCAATGCACAAATTTTCTAGTTGCTCAATAGACAGATCTAGGCAAACAAAGACCTGTTACGACGTATCATTTCATAACCAGAATGTGTACGTCATGCCACTTTTATCAAACCGTACAACGCCAATATCATATTACCATAGAACAGGGCCCGCGGAGCGTATTAGAGAGTGGGGGGGGGGGGCTAAAGGG